TTTGTTATCTTCGATTGCACTATGTTTTACTCGGACTTTTCTTCGAGAACATAGTGCAATCAAATTTTTAATGCGAGCAGACAATGCTTTGATCTTGTTATAATCTTTATCTGAAAAGGAGAAATCAGTATAAATAGAGAGTCAGATAGTAAATTCAGAGGGTGTACACAGTAAATTTAACTCTCTGTTCCCTTATCTAAATAGGTCTCATTTTCGCTAGTCACAATGCTACACCATCGGATTTCTGGACAAGTTTTGTTTGGAGACAGATCTCTTTCGCAGATTAACAGTCCGTATACGTCACAAAAAAAAGTGAAAAATAACTAGTCACAATGCTACACCATCGGATTTCTGTACTTGATAAGTTTTTTAATCAAATTTAATGTAGACAAGAAAGCAAAAGTGGTCATCTTTCAAAAAAAGTCTTACAGTTTCTGCATATCGACTCGTTTAAAATTGTGTTATGTAAGAAATTTTAAAAATAACACTTCTTCTGCACTTTTTTTATCTTTCCAATCGCATTAAATTTACTCTTTTTTGTGTTAATAAAGTAATCATTTAACCCAACTTCAGATCTCTAGCCAATCAGACTTTTGTTGCAAATCTTGATTTGTTCGTTTGAAATGTTTCGAACTGTTGTTGATCGTGAAGAGTTGATAACATACAAACATGTAGGCCAATAGGTCCTATAAATCCAGAGAAAGCACGAAAACAATAATTAACCACCGTTATATTATCATTTTTTAATCGATGATGAACACTATTATCACATGTTAAACAAATAATGGTGATGTTTAGTACGTGGATGGGGGCTGAAGGAACTGCGAATGTCATCGTAGAAAATCTTGCTTCTTTTCATAACTTCTTGTTATGGGATGTTTCGCATAATTTTACTACGGATCGCAAGATCTATTATGTATATCATAATTCGTGGTTACATATACACTGTTAATGGGCAAAACTTTGAATAATAAAATCTGTAGAACACTTGCATTTGCATTTCTCAATTGGACTTTATTTTAGCAAATTTAAAACAAAATATAAAATGTTTTGAGTTATTGTGCTTGACTGCTATAAAAGATCTTTAAAAAATCTTGAAGGTTTGACGGAAAAATCTGTCACACCCTTAAGAGAATAATGTTTTATGTAAACAAGAAATATTTTGGATAGAGAAATGTTTAGTAAATATGCACACGTATTAGAACACACGTCTACTACCACACATACTTTTAAAACGTTTCCATCAAAACCGTTTCATTGTAAAGTCAGATTTTCTAGAATTCCCTTTTTATGAAATTCAAGCCATAGTCAAACTGGCCTTAGCGCTGAATTCAGCATATGCTAAAACCTTGAAGTTCCAAGATCTATGAAAGATTTATATGGTAAAGTAAATGTTTATGAATGACCAGGCTCTCATCTAAATGTGTGTATAAAGAAGTTTCAGAATCATACTTTCATTTATAGTAATCGTATTCTTTCTTCGTAAGTACAAATCAAAAGAACACTAACATTCATATTAATCGCAATGTGCAGTCGACACAAGAAAGGATGGTGTTCTCACATCGACCTCTTAAAACAATGCGAACGTCTACATTTGATGAGCGGTAACTTTTGATGTCAAGTGTTTGGAATATGGATTTATCGGAAAAAACCGATGCTTAATCAATGGCATGACAGCAATAAAGACTGTGAAGAGCAAACGTCAACTCTTTCATGAGTTCTCTAATATGAAAATCTTTTTGTACAAAAATAAAAAAGAGTTACGCGGTCAATGAAGGAAAAGTTACAGCTTCTGTTAAAGCCAATAAGTCGCAAAGAATATTCTTATAATTGACGAAACGAAGTTTTCTTCGTTTATTGAGATACTTTGCAGCAAAATAACATAGCTATCAGCTTTTGGTTGCTGGGACTTCAAGTTTACTAATCTGATTCGGTATGCTGCAGTCCATCGTACATTTCTTCTCGTTTTCGTGGTTCTAGCGTTGTCATTGATCTCACAACTCTATAGTTCCACAATTACTCCAATGAATGTATCTCCAGTCTTGTTTATCTTCAACCATTGATTTCTGAACACGTTCTCGAATTTCTTTTGCTTCTTTTATTGTTTCCATACTTCTGGAAGAAATGACATAATCTTTTGCTAGAGCTAATTCATCCAACTGTCTTCTACTACCAAGCCACTGTGGACTATATTCTATGAGTATTTGTAAAATTAAATTGGCTGGTGTCATCCCGACTCTTGATGAGTTCATGGGAATTGGTTTTAACAGATCAACGATAATAAAATTTAAAAATGTCCGATAACGATTTTCATTTGTCAAATTATGAATTTGTCGAAAACGATGTGGCACTGAATTATGAAAGACAGCAGCCGCGTCCGATCGAATACAGTCAACTTCATAATCCATTTCGAAATGATCGCCCGATGAAGGGGCAGTAGGTGGACGAAATTTGAGTGTACCACCTTCAAGTTGTTCATCAACGTCAACATAATTAACTCCGACAGCTACAATATGCTCAGTAAACCTTCGGTATCCCAACAGCCGGCGTATTTCATTCCTGCAAAGCAGGACGAGAAAAAAAGTCAAAATTGAAATCTCAATTATATCAATAAAAAAATAATATGAAGGTTGCATGCCTTATTCGATTTCAATGTATTCCTAGAAAATTCTTGGAAAAGATGCTGTAGGGGTTTATGCTTAGCATGTCATAGTGAATCATATAATAGTGAAGATAACTGATATAATGCTCGATTTTCATTCGAGGCTCTGAGACATAACTCCTTTAAATTCAAGAGTAAAACGTACTGTTTCAACGTCATGATCTGGGGAATTGATCGAAGACCTGAGCCTCAAACTTTGACTTTGGGAGTAAACTCAGCGGACAAAGCCGTTTTGTTACAAAGAGTTACGCATTAATCCTGCGGGATTTTGGAGACAAGTTAGTGGAAGAGAGCAAGAAGGATTCAAAGCTTTCAAAATACGAGTGGTAGCAGATTTTCTTGTAAGCGAAAAAAACAAATATGTTGGTGTTTACTCTTAACCGGGAGCATTTATAATGAGTAATCAACGACTGCTCATTATGCACCATTAAATCAGAGCTTAGAAGTTTTTCCTCTTCGTTTCCACATGCTGTTATGTTTATTAGCATACCCAGGTGAAAGACGTCTTACAAGATCTTATAAGATCTCATGATTTCTTATGCAATCTTGCTACAAGATCTTTCGGTAAGACTTTGTAAGCTCTTATCCCAAGATCATGTATGATCTTGCGGAATCTTATAAGTTCTTATCATAAGATCTTACAAGATCAGTTTATAAGAAATGTTAAGATCTTATAAGATCTTGTAACAAGAAGTTATATGATCTTGCAAGATCTTGTCAGTTCTTATCACAAGATCATACGATTTCTTGTTACAAGATCTTATACGATCTTACAAGAAGTGATGACTCATTCTTACCACATAAATTTTGCTACGATATATAGTATATACCCAGGTCAAAAAATCAGATCAAGATCTTACAAGATACTATAAAATCTTACGGAAAATCATAGAAACGGATTCATCTTATAAAATCTTATAAAAATGATACAAGAATCTTACGTAATCTGATGAAATCTTACTATAAGATCTTACATCAAGAATCAGTGTCTATGGTTCTTACAGAATCTTACGAAATCAGACGGAATCGTACAAGAATCTTATAAGATCTTACAGTAAAATCTTATAAAATCGTACAGTACGGGCCAGACGACAAATCAGGTACCACGATTCGTATGTACATCGTACATAATCGTATATGATTTCGTACGATTCGTATACGATCTTGTACGATCAGATAGTACGATTCAATCACCTGGGAGGGGATTTATAGGACAGAACCAGAAACATAATCATAATAATAAGATCTGATGAATTCTTATCTGATTTTATGAAATCTTTCAAGATCTTGCTGCAAGAAAAATCTTGTGAAATCTTATAAGATTCTTGAACCAAGATTCTTGTGAAATCTTGTAAGATCCTGTACGATTCTCGTATGATCTTGTAAGATCTTGTGAAATCTTAGGGTATCTTGTAACATGATGAGTTCAATTCCAGAGCAAAAAATTTTCGAATTTGGGTGTAAAATATTTCAAGAAGCAGGGAGGGGATCCCCCTCTCTAGTCCCGTTGTCGCGGCGTCCCTGTTGCTTACTCTAACCTTTCAATTATGGTTTTGATTTTGTTGGTAGTGTGATCGTTGTCGAAATGAAAACATGTTCGAGAGAATGATCACTATCTCTATTATTTGATATTTTAAATCTAAAATGATTTGATTGCTTGTGGCGAATGGATGAGAAAAGGAGAAAATGTGATCAAATCGATATCAAACACAATAGTAATGAGAGGTCTGAATTGAACTTTACATAATATGAAAGTTACATAAGAATCACATCCTTGAGTTTGTCTATTGTGTATGCTGTTATCATAGAAGAGGATGATATCGATGAATTTGAACGTTTTAAACCTGTACGTATCACACAACACAGATATGTATCGTTTTAAACAAATAAATAAACAAATAGTACTGCATCAGTAAAATTGCCAAGATAAGAAGTTCAAATAAACTATAATTCATTTCGTTCCGATTGAAAAACTGTTTACCTTTGTTTTCTCTAAACAGGTTAAAATATGACAATGTTCAATATTTTCATTCGTCTTAATGCTACACTGTAATTTGGAATTATGTTCTATTTTATAGAAAATCGATCTTGAAAATCGCCAAGGATTTTCTAACTTTTATAAAATCCTTAGCGATTTTCTGACTGTTTAGAAATGTTGATTTTCTACTTTATAGAAAATCCGCTCAATTTTCTATGAGTTGACTTTTCGCATTTGTCAGAAAATCGATTGATTTTCTATAAATAATGTCCGACTTTACAGTGTAGTTTTTTGCTCATTAAAGTTAAAATAGGAAGAAAACAACGCCTATAACTGTTGTTACTCTGCTTTCTATCAAATAGGCGCGTATATGTGAAGAGTAATTATTAAATAATAAATAATAATAATAATTATAAATTACACAAGAAACAACATTAATGCAGTATTCAGTAGATTCTTTTGCATGAATTCGATTTTGTGATACTTTATATAGAAATACCGAGAATATATTCTTAAATTTAAAATTTGAATGAGATATACTACGTCTAGTAGATGTTTGCTCGACAAATACGATGAGTTTTAAAGAACATTTACATGTAAAAATACTAATAGAAAAATGTAAATTAAAGAAGCGGAAAATAAGATCTGAATGGTAACTGTTTACAGTCGCTATTATGGCTGACGATAAATCACAGTGAGGGGTTGAAAGCTCGCATTTTCATATTTTTTATGTATTACACAACCATTGTTGTTAAGTATTTGTGCAATTTATTCAACTAATTGAAATAGTCAAGACTGTAGTAATTGCAGTCTGATTTTAGTGAACAAATATGATATTAAATAACACATTTTATTATTTACAGTGCGTTAACAATGAAAAACATAGGTCTTCAATAACAAACAAATAATAAACACTATGAATCTACTTTAAAATTTATTATTTTAATTTATACACTTGTTTCAGGGGGTCCACTTGATTTAACATTTTGACCCAAATATTTTTTTAGTTGATCAATTTCTAGTTCTAAAGTCTAAAGATAAACAGAAGTCCAATTAAGCAAAGATCAGCAACTTTTCTTTTTTTTTTTAAACATATTTATTTCCAATGCTTATAAGAAAGATACAACGGAAATAATGAATATATACGGCAAGTCGGGCAGGCCCATTGTGTGCCAGTTTCTCATATACAACACAAAAAAATAATAATAAAATGATACAGTACATGAATCTAGAAAAGTTGAATATATATAAAAAATGAAAATGATAAATTCTTGAAATATAATAAAATGATTAGTATGACAGTTATTTTGACATAAAAGTGAGATACGAATTATTTTACGGAGAGGAAAGGGAGAGAGAGGTGTTAATTATCATAGTATGACAATACATTTAACATAGACTCAGATAAAACATCAAGACTGATCAAACCGCTGAGTTGCAGCGATAAAGTGGAGAACGGCATTATATAGCTCAATCAGTTCTTCTTTGCAGAGTGCTCTTATCAAACTGTGTTGCAACAAAACATGATCAATTGTTACTGTTTTTACTCTTAAGACATTCCCGAACAGCTGTAGCATCGCTTGACGTGGGGCATCATACTGAGTGCAATGCAGAAAGAAATGTTTAGTTGATTCCTTATCATCTCCACAAATACAATCTAACGAAGGCACAAGTTGTCTTATAAATAAGGGTTCATTTAATTGTGGAAAACCAAGTCTACATCTCGTATAATGGATCTCAAGTTTTCTATTCTTAGCAGGAGGAACCCGGAAGGATTCTAGGAAAGATGATTGTAAGTACCATTTAAAACGTCTATACTTACGATCATTACGCACGTCATCATCCAACTGATTCCATAGTTTACCTGAGTTTCTCATGAAAGTTCTTTCAAGTCTCAAGCTTGGCTTGAAGCTTGTCGGAATATCACCTCGAGCCACACTCCTTGTGGCATACAACACTTTATCGTACTTTGGCACAAGCTCACGTAAATATGGAGATGTTTTGCCGTGCATAATTTTATAGAAAAGGCACAACCTTCTCACATAGACCAACTGCGTCACTGACAGCCAACCTAAGTCTTGCAGAATTTTCTGCTGCGATGTACCACGCATGCAACCTGACACTGCGAGTGCAGCCTGATACTGAATTAGGGATAGCATATTCAGATTACACTCATCAGTACCCCCATAAATAACTAGAGCATAGTTAATGACACTAAGTACATAGGCATGATAGATAGAGTTTAGCGTCTCACGAGAAATCCTCCGGCTCAAGTACTTCATCGGGCCCACTGTGCGTGAAAGTTTCTTGGAGATATCAGAATATGTGTCTTCCATTCTAAAGTAGGCGTCAGTGTCAAACCTAAGTGAACATGTTTTTGAACATACGGTAATATAGAGTTATCAATAAGTAAAAGCGGACCAGGAGCCTTAATAATACTCGTGAATAGCATACAGGTACATTTCTTTACATTCAGTGGAAGACACCATCTCTTCGACCATTCACACACCTTCTTTAAGTCATCGCTCAGTTTAGCAGCAGCTAGTACGATATTATTATTTACCTTAGTATACAGCGATACATCATCCGCAAACATTTTGCATGACGCGCTCAGAGCAAGTGGTAGGTCATCTATATATAACAAAAATAAGAGTGGTCCCAACACGGATCCTTGAGGGACACCACAAGTCACCTTAAGTGGATCAGATGTTGCCCCGTCAACAATCGTAACAATATTTCTGTTAGTTAAATAACTTTCAAGCCATTTCACCATGGAGTCAGAAATACCTTTATTACGTAATTTCATCAATAAGCCTGCATGGGATACTCTGTCGAAGGCTTTGCTAAAGTCTAAAAAGACTGCTATAACAGAATCTCGTGCTTCTATACTATTAGCAATGAAGTCAACTATATCAAC